CATAATTCCCTCAAGGTCCATCCATGTTATTGCAAATGGAATGATTTTGTTCTGTTTTACAGCTGAGTAGTATTCCATTGTATATATATACCACATCTTCTTTATCCATTCATTTGTTGGGCACATCACATTTTAAAACACATCTCCTATCCTCCAAATGTCAGCACTCCCTAGCGTGCTGGCATGCTTTATTTTTCTACCACTGATCACCAATGGGCTTATCATTATATATTTATTATTTCCTATTACATATTTAATTACTTTATTCTTGTCCCACCGCCATCCGCAACAAGAATAAAAGTTCCATGAAGAATTCTGTTCACTGCTACATTCCCAGAGCCTGGGACACTGTGTGGAAGTTAATGAACACTTGACAAGTTATTTGTTGAACGAGTTAATAACCTCATTATTATAAACACTACTAACAAGCAAATTATCTATTCTTTACAAAATACTAATGCTTTTCCAAAAATGAAAAAGAAGCTACAGAAATAGTGCACTCTACTTAGGGAGCTAAATCAGTTTAAGAGTAACTAAAATTGCCAACACTCAATACTGCCCATTATTTGAGATCATAAATTTTACACTGACTTTCTACATAAACGGAAGTCTACTTAAACACCACTTGTAAGATTACTTTCCCCTGAGATTTTCTTGAAAATGAGATCTCTCTTTTTTTTTAAAGATTTTATTTTATTTTCTTCCTTTTTCTCCCCAAAGCCCCCTGGTACACAGTTGTATATTCTTCGTTGTGCGTCCTTCTAGTTGTGGTATGTGGGACGCTGCCTCAGCGTGGTTTGGTGAGCAGTGCCATGTCCGCGCCCAGGATTCGAACCAACGAAACACTGGGCCGCCTGCAGCGGAGCGCGCGAACTTAACCACTCGGCCACGGGGCCAGCCCCGGGTTGTTTTTTATATTGATATAATTCTTTTAGGAAGGCAGTTTGCTATATGGTGTATCAAAAACCTTTAAAATGATAGTACCATTTGACAAACCCAATTGTCATAGCTCTGGGAAATTTTCTGTAGATGTAATTACAGGAAGAAAATGCTTTATGGGGGAAGATACTCATAGCAGGATTATTTGAGAATTTATTGGGGAACAGTTCGGGACATTATAACATACCAACTCTGATTCTTCAGCCATTAAATGATAAATAAGAACATTACGTAGTATTAGTTTTGATCGTATTTTACTCTTATTATAACCATGTAAAATATGTTTTATATGTATGGATGAAGTCTATGAGGTTACAGTTGTTAGAGTAAAGGGAACATGGTGAGATTGTTTAAAATTTGATTGAGTTGTGCTTTGGTTGATAAAATCGTTATTCTTAGGCAGAGAATTGAAGAAATGGAGGATGAATTACAGAAAACCGAGCGCTCATTTAAAACCAGGTAATAATTATACTGCCCTACAGCTGCAGAATTTTTGGCATCTTAATACAGACGATTATAATATTAAATGGCTATTGTAATGAATCCCTAAACATATTTTTTTATGTGTTCTCTTTTTCAGCTCCTGTGCATGAGAAGAGAGCGCATGATAACTGGGTAAGATTTTTTTTTCCTTTCGTTTATTTTGTGCATAGTCACCAACATGAATTTGGTATTTTTTCCTCCAATAGCTCAAAGCTCGTGCTGCAGAAAGAGCTATAGCTGAAGAGAAAGGAGAATCTTCTAACTTGCGACACAAGTATGGGATTTTGATACTTGTTTTTCCAGTGTATTTGGAAGTTTTTTAAGGCTGTGCTGTGTGGGATCTAATAAGGAATTGATTTTCTGTTTCATATTTAAGTCTATCTTTCTCTATATTCAAGATTATTGGAAATGACCCAAAAGATGGCCATGCTGCAGGAAGAACCTGTGATTGTAAAACCAATGCCAGGAAGACCCAACATGCAAAATGCTCCACGGAGAGGTAGGCAGCACTTTTTTTTTTTGAGGAAGGTTAACCCTGAGCTAACGTCCATGCCCATCCTCCTCTATTTTCTATGTGGGACGCCTGCCACAGCATGGTTTGATGAGCAGTGTGTAGGTCCGCACCTGGGATCCGAACCGGCAAACCCTGGGCCAGCGAAGCAGAGTGCGCGAACTTAGCCACTGTGCCATGGGGCTGGTCCTGGGGAGCATTTTTAAAGGGCAGCAGTCAACTTTTATCCCCAAAGCTCCCTGGTACATAGTTGTATATTTTAGTTGTGGGTCCTTCTACTTGTGGCATGTGGGATGCCACCTAAGCATGGCTTGATGACTGGTGCCATGTCCGCACCCAGGATCCGAACTGGCGAAACCCTGGGCCACTGAAGCGGAGCACGTGAACTTAACCACTTGGCCACGGGGCCGGCCCCTATAAATTACTTTTTATTTCTGTGTTTAATGGTTATAATGCCCTAGAAATAATCCCAGGAACTTCAGAAAGCAAAGATTGCCTTCAGGTGGTAATGGTTCCTGTGGTCCCAGGTCCTCTGAGCCAGAATGGCTCTTATGGCCCGTCTCCTGTGAGTGGTGGAGAGTGATCCCCTCCACTGACAGCAGACCCACCCGCGCGACCTCTCTCTGCCACGCTCGGTCGAAGAGAGATGCCTAGAAGTGAATTTGGTGAGCATTCACGTGGGACCTTGCAATAAACTATTTCAAGAGTTTTTTTCCCTTTTATTTGAGAATTCTAATGTAAACAACATTTTAGAATTTGGGTCTGTCCTTTATAGAGAAGAAAATGTCTTAATTTATCTTGGAGAATAAATAGTCTACTGTGAGATCTGCTTTAGAACAGAAAGCATTTATTTATTTAGTATTATTAATATTACTTATACATATATAAATAAAATATATTCATATATAAGTACGTATATATAAATATTATTTATTATTATTGGTTTTGCTTCTTTTGAACTTTTTACTGTGAAGTATAAGCCTTTATCCTTAAATTTCTATGAGTTTCTCTCTTAAATATTGAAAAGTAGCCTTAAGACTTTATAATTTATGCAGCATACATCAGTTTCTCCTCATTATAATATGAGATGCTGTAAGTCTATTTCTCATATGAATGTCTGTAGTACTTGATCACACATGAAAGTCAGTGTACATGTGGGCTGAAGAAGCTCGCCCTGTGCAGCTGTGTCCAGCCTGTAGCTTGGAGCGCCCGAGCAGCTTTATTAACGTGGGGCTTTATTGCTGTTCTCTCAGTCCACGGCAGCTCTTCTCTAATTCTTGGAGTCTGTGCAGGAATTGTGATTTCCCCTCATGGTACTGGGAGACCCATTTTTAATGTTGCTTTCGGGGTAGAGTCAAACCCTGACCTGTCCACAGGTGTTCTGTTTCTTCTGAAAAATCCATGCAAGGGCTCTCTTCTTTCTTTCTCAAGGGTCAATGGACGGGCCTCTCCCTCGTCCTCGATGGTCGTCTGAGGCATCTGGAAAACCCTCTGCCCCTGGTAAGGACCTGAGTGTGCTCACAGAGTCTGAGGTCGTGGAGGAAGGGGGACAGGATTTCTCGTTCTTCCTGAAAGAGTATTTCAGTCAGAACGAGTCTCAGTCAGCTCTCTGGCCTTTGGCAGATGCAGGATCTGGCACAGCTCCCACGATGAACAGCGGCTCGAGAAGCTCTTCCCCTGCCAAGGTGCGGAGGAGGGCAAGGTAAATTCTGCAGTCATTTTGGATTGGAATTCGGTATTTCAGGAAACATGTCACTTTTTCTCCAACACCCTCTCTTTGCCTCGTCCATCTCCTGTTTGTGTGTTCTGTTCTATCTGTACTCTCTCATTTGTTTTTTGAAAAAGCAAACTGTCCCCAAGAGCCTGAAGGCCCTTCAGTTCCCAGCATTACATCTTTGGCTGAGCCTCCCGGAGCAGTAAGTCCTTCGAGGCTCAGGGCTGAGCTGGTCACGCGGGCTGTTTCTGGAAAAGACGTGAAGAGCATGGCCCGGATCCGCTTTCTTTAGACTGCATGGCAGTATTGATCTTACTGTTGCCTGGGCTTGGAAGTGTTGCTGGCTTGCTGAAGTCTGACTGGTTGGTTGGTTGGTCGTGTTCTGCTCTTGCCTCTTTTGGTCAGGTGATTAACCTGTTTAGACGCTTTCTAATGAACCACAAACTGCAAAGTCCCCGCTGCAGCTTGACACGTGTGTTTCAGAGTTGGATGGTCTAAGGCAGAGTGAGCCGTGATGCAGTGCGTGGCTCGTCGTTACTGCGTTTGTTTGGAAGCTCGCTATTCAAGAATATCTCCATACTAGGCAAACCCTATTTTGAATAATCTGAAATTACAGATTGGTAACTGGAGAATGTTTGCTGAAGGTGAAATACCCAATAGTGACCATCTGTAGTTGGGCCAGTTCCCAGCAGTAGCCTTAAATCATGCTCATGTAAGTGTCTTCTCTTGTAACTTGCATAGCAGTTACAGCTGGCAAGACCTCTGATCAGACCTCACAGGGCTTCTCTATGTTGAAATCAAAATACGTGGATTTTAATTATTTAGAATTTCCAACCCCAGTTCCCATACGAAAGGATTAGTCAGTATCTTGTAATGTTCAGTACGGTACTACTGGTGAATGAAGGTAGATAGAAAGCGGCGCCTGCCTCGCTTGCATATTCAACATTGTTTCTGTTGGAAAAAACTTCCAAGTTTCAGTGCAGGACTCCAGGAGTACACATCTCTTGAGAGATCTTTTTATCCAGGGGCAGCTTGGATAAGACCCAAGACCCCTGTAGAAGATTTGAGAGTCGAGCCGCCTTCGCTAGAGGGGGAGGCAGAGGCGGGAAGAGCATGGATGTGGATCGGACCGGATGTTGAACTCCAGCTCAGCCTGTTACCTGCTGTGTGACCATCACCACATCATCTCCTATTTTCTCTCTCTTCCCTCATATGTAAAACAAGACATCAGACGTAGAGATTTAGAGATCTGAGAATGAGCGGCAGTATGTGAAAGGAAATTGAAGGTAGTCGGAATGTCAGCTATTACTACATGTAGAGAGAAGGGGTTTTTCATTCCCTTTCGTTCTCTCTGTTCTTAGTATGGAAATAATGAGCTACTGCGGAGATGTGGGAAGGGAGGGTTGCTTTGGAAATAGATTACAATGTGTATGGTATGGGTTTAGTCGGGAATCACCCCCATTAATATCCTTTGCAGTCGTCCTGCTTTCCCTTCCACTTGCATGTACAAGCAACAACATGACTACGGTGAAACTGTTGACTCCTGTGCCACCCTTTCACCTGCCTGAGCTGTCTGTCAGTGGGAACAAATGGGAGTGCAGTTTCATTGCACTGGTTCTGCTGTTTGGACAAGTGCCTGACATCTGCTTCCCTGGGTTTCAGCTTTTACTGGTGTTGGTGCTTTTGTCTGTCATACCAGAGTACTTCAGAACTTTAATTGCTTCTGCTCTGCAGGTGAATATGGCTACAAAAGGGCCCCTCGTTTCCCAGGGGTGCCCTTCATGGGCTCCCCTGTGGGAGGCCCTCTCCCACTGCCCATTCGCTATGGACCACCTCCTCAACTCTCCGGGCCTCCACCGCCGACTCAGTATGGACCGCCGCCTCAACTGTCCGGGCCTCCACCGCCCAGTCAGTATGGACCGCCGCCTCAACTGTCCGGGCCTCCACTGCCCAGGCAGTATGGACCGCCTCCCCAGCTCTGCGGGCCCTTTGGACCTCAGCCACTTGGTCCACAATTCGGTATGATTATAGAACAGCGGTAACTGACTTGTAAAGTGTACTCATCTTCTCTGTTTCTTGGTCAGATGTTAACAGTGGCTGTTACAGGGCTGTGTGGTGAAAGGGTCAAGCTGGCTGGGTACACTTTGACTTTTCCTCAAGTTTCTTGGGGCACATGGGATGCCACATAACATCCCTATACCGAGATGGGCAGTAGGTATCTCCGTAGACAAGGAGAAAGGGGCTATTACAGAAAGCCAGAAACACTGCTGCTGCAGAGGTTTAGTGAGCATCTGTGGCTACGTACCAGACCCTGGGGTGGATAGAACTCAGTCCCTCTTCTGACTCCAGGAGCTTACATTGTCCTGTAGGACACAGCTGCATACACACTACAACATAAAGCTTATAATCACCATAATGGAAGCATAAGCAGTGGGTCGGAGAGTGTAAAAGAGGCAGGGATTAAGCCGTCACTCTCCAAGCTGGGATTAACTGGGAAGGACGTGTTAAAGAGAAGGTGGAATTTCATAGCTGCCTAGTGAATGTTGCTGAATTTAATTAGGTGTAATTAGGGTAAGCATCTTGATTACGATGGCATATGTTAGGTCCATGCTGAGTTGCTGCATGAGTTTTTACTTGATACAGTAGTAGATAATGGAATTGCCTTTATCAAAATTTCTTTGTTGTAGTGATTATGAAGTGTTACTTCATAATTTGTCATCTTGGTGTGACACATGGTACTTCCAAGTACAAACCAAGCTCTTGAGAGATAAAAGGTGGCAGAACTGTGTAGTAGAAAAAACACAAGCTTGGTAGAGCCGTGTTTAAATCCTGCCTGTGTTGCTTCATGGCGGGCTGGCCACAGGCCTGTAACTTCAATTTGCCGAGCCTTAGGTGGCGTCATCTACACAGTGGGGATGCCACCACCTGACTTCTAGGGTTGTGAGCAATTAAAGACGAACATACCTGGAACCCTCTAAATTTAGATATGTTTGTAGGTATTTACATGACTTCTGTTTTACTTTTCCAGGTCCTGGTCCATGCCCACCACTAGGCGTAAGAGAATATGCACCAGGTGTTCCACCTGGAAAAGGGGACCTGCCTGTCGACCCTCGAGAGTTTTTACCGGGACACGCACCTTTTACACCTCCAGGCAATTTTGTCCCGAGAGAATACTTTATTCCTGGTGCCCGATTACCACCCCCAACCCACGGCCCCCAGGATTATCCACCTTCTGCTGCAAGAGACTTACCACCTTCCGGCTCTCGAGATGAGCCCCCGTCTGACTCACAGAGCAGTGGCAAGGACTCCTCATCGGCCTTAAAACACAGCCCCTAAGGGACCTCTGACACTTCGTCCAAGAGAAGGTGAACCGTGCACTCTTGGGTTACAGTAAAGGATTTTATTGGCTTCAAAATCCAAAAGTTTATTTTCAAAGGTTTTAGAACTAAGCTGCCCTGGCAGTGTGCATTTTTGAGCCAATCAATTAAAAAATATCATTTTCCCCCCTAAATAGATACCACCTCGGAATCTAGCACCTTCTTACAACTTTGAAATGTGCAATAAAGAATACCTGTGTTTCATTAATGTAGCATATGTAACTGCTAAATGATTTAGAGCGTCATGAAAAATAACATTTCCTGTGGAAATGCTATAAGAACACGTATTCCCTTTATCCTATTTTTAGTGCACATTGGTTGAATACGGAGCAACAGTGTTTATAAGCTTGATTTTTTAAAAATTGGTCATGAAGACTGTTACATTAAAATGTTTACTAAAAGATCACGCCACTCTCTCCCCTCTTGCTGAGGTTCTCTGTAGTAACAGTTCATAAAAATTTCCTTATTAATATTTCCCACGTGTCTCTTGCTTCATTGGATTCTTTTCTCATGAGACGGGTGCCATGTTGGAAACATGCAAACTCAGGCTCCCAGAACTGGAGATGGTGACTTGGCAGCAGCCCTGTTGCTCACCACACAGGAGGGGCAACCTCAGAATGCAACAACTGACGTCTTCCTTTTCCTTGAAAGCCAGTGGGCCCATCTGTACGGCATTCATGTGCTTGCTTGTGACTCTCACTGCCTAGTTGAGGTGGTTTCCTGAGTATGCGTTTCCATTAGTAGAAGGACTTGTTGCACCTGTTGTTCTGTGGCTTTTCACCATTCTTGCATTAAGGGTGCTTGACAGAAAAATGAAAATGATGTGTTGTGACCATAAAAGTAAGGAAATTTGTTTTAAAAAATTCTAGTCTATTCTTTCTCCCATACCTTGCCAGTGATTTTCAAGCAATATAACAAAAAAGACCAGAAGAGTATAATATTAGAAAGAATGATTTAAGATTGTAAGGCTTGTAACATGCTCGGTTCTTTTGTCTGTTGATACTACAGAATTAATATTTGAATGTTAGCACTTACACATCTAGGAATCTGGGATCACACCATACTTAAAGCCATCCCATTCCCATTACTACACCATGTCTTTTAAACAATGTTTCTTAAGAACTCATTAGACTCTTCAAATTATAGTAACTTTATAGCACATTTTACGAAGTTTTAGATCAGAACTATAAAAGGCTGGTATTCTTTCCTGTTAGACTATACTCTCTCAGCCTCTGCAGTTCTGTGATGGAATGATGTCACTGACACCTCGACCACGGCTTGTCACAGCTATATTTAGTCCACTAAGAATGCCCTGCAAAAAGCAAAGCCTGCACTGTGAAACAACAGGTCTTCATATAACCTAGTAAAAGACAGCACTTTAGAAAGATAAGGATCTTTGAACAAAGATGACTTTCAAAATTCATAAGAAATGGAAAAAAGGAAGAGAATTCCGTCTATATGTCCGTCCACTTCACATCAAGAGTAGAAGAAATTTAAGAGGGAAACTCCATAGTTAGTAGCAGAGGTTACTTTTAACCATGTAAAATAAGATTAAATCACAAATACAACTTTTGACTATATCAGTCTCTTCAGACACAAAATAATGATCAAGTTAATATCATTTCTAATTTTCAATAGCATTTAAATATAGATTATACCAATTAGGAAAATAAGTAGGAAAGGTAAATTAAATCTATTTTAAATCAAAGCGGGTCATTTTTACCTCAATCTTTTTTTGGTGTTTATTCTGTATCATATTATGGAAACATGATTAAGCTGTAGAGAAGTGCAGTGTCACGTCCCTGAGCAGTTCTGAACCTGCTGTAAGCGCCACCGCTCTGAGCCTCTGCACCACGTCTGCAGCAGAGCCCAGGCAAGCTGCCCGTAGGCAGAAGGTGCCGGGGCATCAGCCTTCAGTTCCATCCGACTCGGCCATCTCAAAAGTCACATCTATTTCAGAAGTCGTTTACAGCTAATTGCATTTCAGGGCTTAGTTGCTAAAAGCATCTCATTTACGAAGGAACAATGTTTTGGCCTAACAACATTCCTGCTATAGTTGTGGCTATTGTTCAATGGCTGGTTTGTTCCAACGGAAAGTAAACAATCTGTGGGATGTGGAGTATTCTGTGTCCACTGCTTCAAGACAATCACTCGTTGTTTCGTTCAGGTCTGAATTAAAGATAAGCTAATCACACAGTGTTCAATTTGAGCTTCTTGAGTACTGATGAAGCCAGCCCTGGTGGTTAAGATGCCATGCTCTCACCACCACGGCCTGGGTTTGTTACCTGTCGGTCGTCATACTGTGGCGGCTGCGTGTTGCTGTGATGCTGAAAGCTATGCCACCAGGATTTCAACTACCAGCAGGGTCACCCATGGTAGACTGATTTCAGCAGAGCTTCCAGACTAGACAGACTAGGAGGAAGGACCTGGCCACCCGCTTCTGAAAATCAGCCATGAAAACCCTGTGAATAGCAGTGTAGCACTAGCACTGTCTGATAGAGCACTTGGGGGAGAGAATGGCGCAAAAGACCAGGCAGTGTTCCACTCTGCTGTCCACAGGGTCACTAACAATACGGATGAAAGGCATCTGTAGTTCATGGAAACCATACATTGTGGACGATAGCACATGCTGCTTCATATAAATGATCACTGACAGACGTGGCTTACGAGTCCACAAGAAAAGAGAAAGAACAGTCAGTTTTGCTACATTTTAATAGTAGGTTCTTTAAGGGATTATTTTTTAGGTCTCGTCAGCAACATCAAACAAAAGGTACTGAGTACTCCACAGGGTACAGAGTGCTGCCAAGCACCTGAGGAAATTTACATGACATGGAGAAAACGGGGTTCTTGCCCCTTGAGGAGCTTACAATCTGGGGGCTGACAACTCAGTCTAAGAGTTGAGTGAACAACCAAGCAATTTATTAAGGCAAATGCTTCATCCTCGCCAGCTATTGTGGATTGAATCCTTTTGGAATGAAATCTAATCAAGGTGAGAGACAAGACTAAATTTGGTTGAGAATGCTTTCAGGCTCCTAGAGTTTTTAATATCCATCTTAATAAACAGAACTGACCTCACAGACAACTGAAAGGCTAGATCTCCTGAAGAGCAAGGGCTAGAACAACTTACTCGTGGTTACTTATTTTAAAAAGCAAACGTACTGAACGGTATGACTAGGGTTATTACACTAGTTTAAAAATAGGCCAAGTACTGGCACTGCATTCTCCTGCTAGCATTGGTCATTTAAAATAATGAGTATTAAATATGTGGGCTCTACATCTAACCCACAGAAAGCCCACCCCAAATCTTAATGTTCTGTGTATCAAATATCCACCTTGTGTGTACTATGAAAGTTTTATTTATGCCCCATTAAGTCAAAAGTAAATAGTCAAATTATAATAAGCTAATGACCTGCATATTTCCATATGGATGAATGTCAATATATCTAAATAGGAAATAAATGGCAATCCTATCTACCTATATAAAAAAAAATAGAGTATCTCCAGATTTTGCATACTCATCACTCTAAGAGAGTTATGCAGGTTTTAAGGTTTCACAATCAGTTGTCAGAAAAACAGCAGTGATTCCTGCAGTATCTTGTTAGCATCTGACTCGAATTATTTTTAGAGTACATGATTTAAAAGACAGTATAAACCCATCTGCAAATTTGTAATTATTCTGAGATGGTTCCGTCGCTAACCCTAGAATCACCATCAGAAAGAGTAACAATGTGACGTAGAAGGACAGCTAATCAACACGACTGAAAATATGCTCACTTTCAGAAAAACAGTCGGGTCACCGGGAAAAATCCGAGCTCCCACCTGGAAACAGTCCCATCTGGGACACTGCTCTGGCCAAGGCACTCTATGCTTAGCAGGAAAACCATGAGATCAGGTGCATTTAGGCCTCTGAGGAGCAGCCTATAAATTCCCAGACGGACCTGGGGTGGCACCATCGGCCCCATTCCTCTCCAAGCAGCCATCCTATCCTACCCACATCAGCCCCAAGTTTGACATTCATCAAAAAAACCAAAAGAGCATATTGGCGCAGAAGTGAACAGATGTGTAAACTTGAGCACATTCTTATTGCTGTATTAATTCTGAAGAGGAGCACATCCTACCCACAACAGTGTTGTTCCAGGAAGCAGGGCAGGAGCAGTGGTAAATTAGAAAAGTGACTATTAATTGCACAATTAATAGAAAAGTAAAAACATGTTTCAAAATCTACAAGAAGCCTGTATTCAAAGGAGTCTTAGATGTCAGTGATGTGCTGGACTTTGAATTCTGTGGTACAGCTGTGCAACGGACCCCCTCCGGCCTCCTGGCATGGGTACGGCTCGCTTCCTGCCTGTCGAAAGGTGAATACGCTACACAGAGCTATGATGCTTTCTACCGAGTGGTGAAGTTCACAGAAGTTCCAGGTTAGTCAGGTCAGGATCATTCCTTGTGCAAAGTTTGATGTAGATGAAGATAAAGTGGTTTCTTGGTCAATAACTGCAATTTCTTCCTTTTAAAGTCAGTGGGCTTCTTGTATCTGTAAGCACAATAGAAAAACCACTGTTTCAAATCCTTTGATGATTGATCTATTCGGAGGTCACATACTAAGAAGAAACACTAGTCACCACTCAGTTAGAGCTAATTTCCTACTGTGTGTCACTTACAGTTCTATTACAATTGGCCCAGGTTTAATTTCATCCATCTCCATGAAAGCAAAACATTTGGTGCTGGTAAACCGTTTTTTAGGCTTGTAGTGTTTGAATTCAAAGAAGATAGCTGCACCTAAGGAATGAAAACAAACCACATTAGCCACAGACAGCACATTTGCAGTGTCAAGACATTGTCTTTGATGACCAGAAGCATATGAACAAGCAACAAGTGGCATAATTTACAAATTAACCTTTGTCACATTCTCTCTGGTGATGTGATCCTCATGTCATGACTCGGGTCACCACCCAAAACTTGGTATCTGAATGGAGTGACATTTCTCCATATCATCCAATTCTACAAAGTACAGTAAAACTTCTTGAGCTAGAGTCACTCAAGAATGTACATAAGTTCATACACAGGGAGAAGCATAAACTACTGAAGAATATATAATATTAAATACCACGAAAAGAACACAGAAGATACTTAAGTGTTGACATTATTCGTAGAAAAGCATTAGGCAGAAAAGGCATGTGAAAGAGTTCATCCAAAAATCCAGGCTTAAATCATT